AATATTGAACCGTGAGACTAAAGTATTGAACCGAACCGTGAATTTTCTGTATCGTTGCACCCTTAATTAAACTTTAGGAAGAAAAAAGTGTTAGTATTCATGTAATCCAGTCTTTTTCAAAGTTGCCATTTCAATTGTTACATTTTCCTATTTTATTTTGAAAATCCCCCACATGCTGGTTTACTTCCTAACTGTGCTTTTCTCACCTCCATTTCAATATTTATCTTTGTTTTAACATTTGCACCTTCCTCTTTCAGCTGTCTGTTGCTTCTTCTTCTTTTAGCTTAACYTTTTTCTTTGTTTTGGATGGCATTTCAATTCAATTCAATTTAAAAATACTTTATTGATCCCAGAGGGAAATTAGGTAAAAATTAGGTAAAATATTTTAAACCTGATCTATGCCACTAACAGATCCTCTGCTCAACATCAAACTACATGTCTGATGTTCCATACGATGTGTTTTGTTATAAAGAAAATTTTAAAGTATTTTATTTTGTATGATTTTTTGCAAGAAGAGAAAAACCCAAACAAGTCCTTCCTGTTCAGGTTAATAAACTGAATGTAAAAGTGGGCCAATGCCTGAAAGCTGGGTGAAACCACAAATGACTCAAACCTCCTTTTTTTTCTCTAACACAAATGTCAGCTGTTGCTGCTGTGGGGAAGTACATCTTAGAGAGAAATAAAACTGGCTGGGAGGAGGTTTTGTTTCATTTTGTCTGGTTGGAACAGTTGGTTTTAAMACAAAATGCTCAGAAAACAGCAGTTAAAATGTTTTAGTTTGGATTTAAAGCTCATCATGACAGAAASAGCAAAAACAGTTCTGCTAATACAGAGTCCTGTAGAAATCTGTGCATTAAAAAATTCTACTGAGAAGCCACCCAGGGTAAGGTAGATTATAATAATACAGATTAAATCATTGGCTGTCAAGGAAAGGAATGAAGGCCAGTGGCTTTTAACTGTTTTTCATATCAACAAATCAAATTATTTTCTGTATTTTCTTGCTGATCATGTTTTGCTTCATATTTCAACCATCTTTGTGTTTGTTGTATGAAATTACAATAAAAAAGATTCAGATTTTAATTAGAATTATATGAGTTTAAACTTGAAAATGTTTGCCATTTACCTTTTTATTGTGATATTCAGATATTT